CGAAGCACAGCGGGGAGGGGTGCAGCGCTCGGGGCGTCACGTCACGTCACGTCACGTCACGTCACGCAGCGTGCGCTGCCGTCGCTCGCATCTCCTGGTGGCCCAAGGGAGCTGCCACGCCGCGGCCGGCCGCGTGTGCTTCCCTGCCGGCCGCATCTGTCCGCGGGAGGGGGGAAGGATGCTGCAGCTCTGCTCTTCCACCGGACACAACGGAGAAACCACAGACCCGCAAATAAACGTCATCCAGCAAAGAGAGGCAGGAGCCCTGTCCTTCAGCCTTTGGGGAGTCCTCTTGGCGTACAGCAGAAACACCTACTCCTGCAAACGTACTAAAGCACGGTACGTTTGTCCCCTGAATTGCAGCCGACGTAACATGCAAGAACAAATCTGCTGTGCTGCTTCAATTTAAAATCAGATGACTGAATCTGCAGGAGCGGGTGCCGCGTATCGCCCTCCTGGAGCTGCATCCAGGTCCCTAAATAAACGGTGTCAGGCTACGGGCGGGCTGAGCCCCTCTCCCTCGCTTCGGCTCCAGGGAGACGTCCGTCTTGTTTCCCTGGCGAGACGACGGCGTCGTACAGCCCTGTTTGCCCCAAGAGTTATTGAAAACCATGAGGTACCTACAAAGAGCTTGGTGCCTGCAAACCTGCGGCAACAGCCCCTTCTGTTCTTGTGCTACGGTGTCGCAGGGATAACTGCTGGACATAACCTCCGTGAGTGAGCTGTATTTTAAGACCAAACAGAGGGAAGGGACCAGCCAGCTGCCCCAGCCCGGCCACCCACCCTCTCCTGGGGGACGCGACCCCGTCCTCGCTCGCCGCCCCGCAAATTCGGACAGAGCCTCCGGAGCGCAGGCTGCCGCAGCTGGGCTCCCGCTGCCTCCACGTCCCCGCTCCAACACGTGGGGGCACTGACGGCTTTGCAGAAACAGTTGAGAAACGGTTTTTTTTTTTCTTTCTTTCTTTCTTTTTTATGTTTTAACACGGAGACAACCATCTTTTTCCTTGCTTTCTTGTAATAAATGGCTGGCCCGCCTTAACTGGTGCAAATTACAAAATCCAAGCTGACACAGATACCCATGCTGGAAAATTTTGGCCCAGACTGTTAGAATTTAATAAAAGTATCTATAGCTTTCATGCAACGGGACGCTAGTGATATAGAGCCATAAACCCATTTTTCCCCCTCTCAGTGCTAGCCTGGCTTTCACAGCCAGAAGGGCGACCAGATCGTTTTCTTTCTCCCTCGTTCATTATCCCCATGGGTGGCTCTGGCAGCAGCTGGGTCCCCCCATCCCCGTCCCCTGCTGCCCCTAGTTACACCTCTGTGATGCCACTGCAGCCCCGCCAGGCCCTCCCCACCACCTGCTGCCACAGCAGTTGTTTCTTGGAAAATAACAGGGTGCAATTTGTATAGAAACACCTGTAACATCGTTAGAGGCATCGTTAGAGGAGGCTGCAGCAGTACCCGGCGTTAGAAAGGTGAGCTGATGACGCCTTAATAAACCGGGGACACTGGTTTCTTGCTCCGATAGTCCTTTCGCTCCCCTTGGGCAGATGTTGTTGACGGCTTTCATGTAAATGGGCAAGATCTCAGCTTTGCAATATTTGCTTTGCGTCTAGAAAACACGGTTTTCACTTAAGTGTACAAACTGTCATTCCGAGCTAACTTGCAGGATAGTAGCTTGGCCATCGTGATTGCAAAAACGCTGCTACTCTTCCCAGGTATCGCTTCAGAGCAAGGGTTGTTTGCTGCTTTTCCCTCTCGAAGGAAATTCTGTCCCGGCTTTAGGAAGGCACAGCTACGCTGGAGGCCGCTTCCCTCGCTGCCAGAGAGGAAAGGCTTTGCCTGCTGTAGAGCTTCAAGGGCTTGTGCTGAGGAGCCCAGCCTGCTCCCGGGGTGCCCGTAAACCGGCCCCCAGGTGGTACCCACGTCTCAGCCCTCACGCAGCACCGCATCCTGACACGTAACCTCTCAGTTCCCACTTCCTGCATTTTCTCCCTAGGCTCTGCGCTCTTTGGGGCAGGCGTCTTAGTCTCCTCACCAGCCAGCAGGACATCAGCACTTCAGAAATGCCACAGAACCGTTATTAGCTGCCTCTATCCATCCCCCTCCACCGGACCCAGTCGGGATCGTCATCCCTTGCTGACGTGAAACCAAGCACTGAGGCACCCGTGTGCTACCAGGGAGCAGCACCTCCACACGGCTGAGCCCTCCTGCCTGTTTGCACCTCCATCCCACAGTGATGGGCAGATGGGCAGCAGCTGGGTTGGAAAGTAACAGGGCACCATTGGTATAAAAATACTTCTTACAGAAACTTGCAGCCTTCAGGCTTAGGAGTGCAGGAACCACCAAGCCATAGGGGTCAATGTCCCTCCAGGCCAGCTGCCATGCACACCTGGCCCTGGAGCACATTCAGGGGCTCCAGGGATGGACGCTGAAGCCCTGTCCTGGGCGAAGGGCAGCTGCTCCCCTGCACCTCTAGCGAGAGCCAGGCAGCTCTGTGTGCACCACATGAGAGTCATCCCTGGCACTCACTGCAGCAGCTCTGGATGTCCTCAGGAGAGCTGTATAAACACTCTTTTCCTTTTTTTTTTTAATCCTAATGAGCTTTTGGCTTCAACAGCTTGTGGCAGACTTCCACGGGCTGAGAGTATTTAATAAACTCTTCAGTTATTAAATAACTCCAGCTCTACAGATTCATGACCAGGACTCTGTAGTATTTAGGATGCTGATACTAATACTAAACTGTCTGAAAATTTCCACCCTTGTATAGTGTGTTGAGTTTTTCCTCCCTTAAAAATTAAAGAAAGAGACCATTCAAAGCATAACGCTGAGATTCTAAATGCCTTTTTCCTTTTAAAGCACTCCCCCCTACCCCAAGGATCTTAATTCAGGTACTTGATACTTACTATTGCTCACCTCCAGGTGGAAAAGCAGGCAGCTAGGTAAGTCAGGAGCTTCAACCCAGATCAGTGCTAGAGCTGGAAACAAAACCTAGGAGTCCTGCTTTCTTCCGCTGCCTCTGTTTGAAAGGGAGCAGCACTGCTTCTCGCTGGGGAGTGGGGAGCGCAGGCTCCTCTGGGAAACAGCCCGAGTTCGGCCTGCGATGGTCCCAACAAAGTCATCAGGCGCAGCAAAGAGAGGATCTGATTTTTATGCACAAAGTGCTGAGTAATAAAACAGGAGCACAGAGGTCATTCTGCACAGTGCAATCACAGCGTGACGACGTATGTGGTTTGCGCGCGCTTGTGGCTTGCAGTCTTTCACCATGGCACTTCTCAGTGATTCGAGGCGGTAAGGGAGGATAGCCCGCGGTTTGCATGCAGTAGGAGTAGAGAGTTACGTGTCAGCTTAGCGCGTAAAGCAGCAGGCTGGCTTCTAGCCTGCAGCGAGGACACCTGCAGAAGACCTGGCGAGGAGCTGGGTGCCTGGCACAGGACGTGGTGGCAGCCCCTGCGCGTGCTCTCTGCACACTGACCGAAACCCGTCAAGGCCAAACAAGCATATTCGGTTGTGTCAACAGTGTCTAGCCGCCTCCCGGCTGGTAGCTACCCATGGTTAGCACAGCTGAGGTAAGGAAATAGGTCTAGTAGATTTAAGGGGTCTTTAGGATGGAACAAGTTGAGTCCTGCCTGGGCGTCCGACCCGGGCGTCCCGCAGCCTCCCATCAGCGACCCCTCTGCGCGGCTCCCGGGGCTTCCCGTGCAGTGCGGAGTGTAAGTAAGCCCTTTATTAAATCTATCCTGCTTAACCCCTCATGAACCTTGAGTGTCTCTCTATGCCGGTATCCGACCCTCCCTTTCCTGCCTTGCCATCATGCAGACAAAACAGGAGCACTGGTAATCGGAAATTGGGCTGCTGAGCTACCTCTTAGGTAAAATCTGGGAGGAGATAGAAAAACAGGGAAAAGGAATAGGCTGTTTCTCATAGAGAATTGTATTTTAAAGTATTAAATAGCATACAATCCAAACCAGCAAGAATATCTTGACAGGCAGGGAAAGTAAAACTATTGCGCAGACTTCCTAGGTGTGTATCCCTCACTGAAACTCTGCCAAGTACCAGAGGGAGGTGTCCCAGTCACCTCGCAAAACAAGGCAGCATGCCTTTCACAGAAGCCCAGTTAAGCCAGCAGACGCGGGGTCTTTGGTTGCATGGGCTATTCTCCCTTTTAGGTTTGCGCCCGCTGCCCACCGGGCAACGCTGTCAGGAGGGCAAGAACGCACGAGGTCGTTCA